TTACTATTTCAACAAAAAGTTCACTGAATGTAAAACTAGATACTCTCCAATTGAAAAAATGTGTTGTGCTTTGGTATGGGTTACAAGAAGGCTTAGGCAGTACATGTTATATCACACCACATAGCTTATATCTAGATTTGATCCTTTGAAGTATCTAATGATTGTACCCACATTATCTGGAAGGTTAGCTCGTTGGCAAATTCTGTTGTCAGAATTCAACATCCAATATGTCAGTCAAAAAGCAGTAAAAGGGAGTGCAATAGATGAATTTATTACAAGTAAAACATCTCAAGAATATGAGCCGATAAATTTTGATTTTCCAGATGAAGATTTAATGGCAATCTTAATGGAAGAATCAATTATATCCACCATTGAATATTGAGGTTGACATTTGATGGTGCTTCAAATGCTTTGGGACATGGAATTGGGGCAATCTTGGTCTCCCAAATGGAGAACATTATCCGTTTACCAGCAATATGGCTGAGTATGAGGCATGTATTTTGGGTCTTAGAGCTGACATTAACGTAAAGTAAAATTGCTAAAGGTATATGAGGATTCGGCTCTAGTAATTTACCAAATTAGAGGAGAATGGGAGACAAAAGATTTCAAGCTTGTAGAATGCCATAAATTAGTTATGGAACTCATCAAGGAATTTGAAGAGGTAATTTTCAATTATCTCCCCTGAGAAGAAAACCAAATGGCAGATTCCTTGGCAACTTTGGTAGTCGCATTTAAGGTAGATGAGTATTCAAGCATGATGCCCATTGAAATGCAGGCCTATGAATATCCAACTCATTGTTTTAATATTAAAGAAGAAGAAGAAGTGAAACCCTGGTAATATGATATTTTGCAATACATCAGATATCAGAGTTATCTTGAATAAGAAACGGACAATGATAAAAGAACTATCAAAAGAATGACATCAGGATATGTCCTCGATGGTAAAATCTTGTACAAAAAGGGCCTAGATCAAGTCCTATTGAGGTGTGTAGATACCAAAGAAGGCAAAACAATTCTCAAAGAAGTTCATGAAGAGGTATGTGGAACTCATGCTAATAGGCATATGATGGCTAGACAAATTATGAGATTTGGATACTATTGGTCAACTATGGAAACTGACTATATCAATTATGCCCGAAAATGTCACAAGTGTTAGATTTATGGAGACAGGATGCACATTCCTCCTCATCCATTGCATGTGATGATAGCTCCTTGGCCATTCTCAATGTGGGGCATAGATGTTATTGGATAAATTTTCCCAAAGCTTCAAATGGTCATCGTTTTATTTTTGTAGCAATAAACTATTTTACCAAATGGGTAGAAGCAACTTCTTATACAAACATCACTCAGTCCACAATCTGTAAATTCTTGAAAAAAGAAATCATTTGTCGATATGGTATGCTAGAAAGAATTATTACTGATAATGCTTTAAATTTAAACAACAAAAAGATAAAATCAATCTGTGAACAGTTTCAGATAAAGCATCATAATTCCACCACTTATCGCCCAAAGATGAATGGAGCTGTTGAGGCAGCTAATAAGAATGTCAAGAAGCTTATAGAGAAGATGACTGAAACTTATAAGGATTGGCATGAGAAACAACCATTTGCTCTGTTAGCTTATCAAACTTCAGTATGAACATCGAATGGGGCAACTCCGTTTTTGTTAGCTTATGGGATGAAAGCAGTCCTACCTATTGAGGTAGAAATTCCTTCACTACGAGTTTTATCAAAAGTAAAGTTAAAGGAGGCAGATTGGATACAAACCAGTTGAATTTGATTGAAGAAAAGAGAATGAAGGCTATTTGTCATGGTCAGATGTACCAAAAAAGGATGATACGAGTACATGATGAAAAAGTTCACCTCTGAGAATTTTACGAGGGAGATCTCGTACTCAGAAGGATTTTTCCTTTTCAAAAGGACTTCTGAGAGAAATGGATGCCAAATTGGGAATGACCTTATATTGTAAAAAAGGCTTTTCTGGAGGATCTATAGTCCTTGCTGAAATAGATGGACCTAAATTACCTTACCCAGTAAATTCTGACGCGGTCAAAAGGTATTTTGCATGAAAGAAAAGAAGGATTAAATATCTAAAAAGGATATCTTGGGGTAATTCAGGGTTCATGTTTCCTTGATCATGGGGTAACTACATCAAGTGTTGTTCATCCTTATGATTGATGATAAGTTTCAGTACTGGAAATTTTGTGGTATAAGAAGAAACTCCACACCTTGATCACAATCTTGAGATCCTTTCGACAGAAGCTACACTTAAATCACTTTGCAGCTTGCTAGTTCAAAAGCATTTGTGCTATTGTTATTTGAAGATTCATACTCTTTTTTAGTAAAGTTTGCCATGTATTTACTTAAAAACTCTTCATATGAATAAAAAGAGACATGTTCTTGTTATTTATTTTTGCAAGCATCTTGCTTTGAAAATTTAAAACATGTAGTTTAACTTGAAGTACATGAAATCATGGTGTATTATTGTATAAAACGTTTTTGAAGAATGTAGATATTCTGAGGTTAACAATGATTTTAACATATCATGATATGATACATAAAGCATTGAAGTACATGGAAAGTTTCAAACATTTGAAGACGATCCAAAATTTTTGTCACTGATTGAGTGGTTTGTCATTAATACTGGTGGAATTCAAGAAGAACGAAAACAGGTTCGGGTTCGACCAAAAAGGATCAAGGTTTCAGCTAAGATAAAACGGTTATGTTTGCTGCAACCATAATGAGACTGAGTCAATAATGGAAAATAAGAGAGGGTCCTCATTCGAGAAAGAAAATACCCTAAAGTTTGTCATTGCACACGATTTAGGCATAAATATGATCATGACATTCATAAATGCATGATAGAAAATATAACATCATACTCTAAGGTTTCTCAAAAGGAAGCTGAAGGTTAAAGATATTGAAATTACAAGATATGAGTAATTAACTCAAAATCCCTAAAAAGATGGATATCCAAAGATTTTTTGAGCCTAGTCTCCACGAAAGAGTAGTGGAAGCAAATTAACCTCGAATCTGATCTTCACGGAAGAGTAGTGAAACAGATTCTTCTCAAGCAAATCCAGCCTTCACAAAAGAGTAGTGAAGTAGGAAAAGACCAAAAGTTCGATCTCCACGGAAGAGAATTAATCTCGAATCTGATTTTCTCGGAAGAGTAGTGAAACAGATTCTAATCAAGCAAATCCAGCCTTCACAAAAGAGTAGTGAAGCAGGAACATGTCAAAAGTTCAATTTCCACAGAAGAGTAGTGAAACAATTTTTTATCAAAAGCCAATTGGGCGAAAACTTTTGATCTTTGCTTTATTCTTGTTAACACAAAAATAAGTGAAGTGGGCCAGCTGTCGACATTCTTTTTCGTCCAAAGTTTTGTTTTGTTTTAGTTATATTATTATTATTATTATTATATTATTATAATTAATAATTATAATTTTGTTACAAGCCCAAATGCAAAACAGATCTGACCTGAGGCCCAATTACAACCAAAGCCCATTTTTACAAGTTCAACCCGATCCATACCACTTGACCCGAATGGCCAATTCCAGCATATTCAAACCCGGTTCAGACCCAGATTCGACCCGAGCAGCCAAACAGGCCCAAGAAGCCCAAATGCAGTTAGGGTTTCACACATTTCAGCTTCAGCCGTCACATATCACAACCGTTGGATCTAGAGAGATCCAACGGCCCAGATGGAGTTTTCAGAAACCCTAGGGTTTTCATTACAACCCTAGGACTATTTCGGCCGCTGCCATAGTGTGATTATGCACCCATCGTCGTCACCTCCGAACGCTCCAGTTAACAGCAGCCATGTAGCTTCCACATCATCACTAGATCCAAGAGATTTGGGTGCATTTAAAGCACCCAGTCTATCAACCGCACAACTCACTGCCCCTAGGGTGGATGGCCAGTCGGTGGATGGTTTCCCTCCGGCATGGGAAACTTAGAGGGAAGCAAAGAGGAAAATGAGAGGCTTTAGGCCTCTTTAGGCCGGTTAGAGCCTATTTATACCCTTGCCCAAACGACGTCGTTTTGGGGAGGGGTCTGTGTGTAAATTGAAGTACAGGTAAATTATACTCGAGGTACATGTAACTTTGTATTTATTCAATTTAGTCACTGAAAGCATGTTTTTGTATATCCAAATTTGGTTCTCCAATTTTATTTGTGTTTATTTTAGTCATTAATCATATATATATATATATATATATAAGTATTTAGGGTAAAATAACCTATTTAGTCCCTTAGATTTTAATTACTTATATTTTGATCCTGTATTATTATTTATGGTTAAACTACACTAATAGTACCTATATTTCATAATATTTCGAATTAGAATTATTAATTTTATTATTTAAAAATCTATCCCATAAACTTTAATATTTTAAATAGTTATAGGATTATTTAAACTTATAATAATTAACATATTAGGTATTTGCAGTAGTAATTATAAATAATTTTATTTGTATAATTTAGTAATTAAATTAAATACAAATTTGTTAATTTATTGCAAAGATATTAATTAATAAACAAGGTACTGATTTTGGGTGTTATGGGATCCTTCCCCATACGTAACCGACTCCCGAACTCATTCTCTGGAAAGTAGACCCCTGTTGTGTTATTTTAATATTATTCTCAAGAATTTTATTAAAATATCATAACATTTTGGTGACCAAACGCACCCCATTAAATGATTGGTGGCGACTCCTCAAAATGGTGTTTTATTTAATTTAAGGAATAAAAACACTTACTTTTTCGAGACAACTACACTTACGTGTACTATTTGTCTTTTTCGCCGGGCAATAAATGTCTCGACAAGCAAGAAATAAACGAAAATCAAAACGGGACAGCACCCTTGCATGACTCATCAAAATAACAATAACACAGGCTACAAATAATCAATGCAGGTCAAAGGGCAGAATCATACATGTGAATTATTAGATAAACTAAGCAATCATCAATGCCTGTCTGAGATACAATAATCACAAGGCGACTTGTTATCGATGAAAAGTGAAAATATTCTTTAGAGATAGCACAATAGAGTCATAGCGGCACGACCTATATGATACCGAGAAGATTTGCATTGCCATTCCAAATAACTGCTGGGATAACAATCACTTTTCACTGTATAATTAAAAAATAAAACAAAATAATCAAAATCATAGAGTCAAAGAAATAGAGCAAGCAAGTTAATTTAAATTCACTTACCTATTCATCATAAGAGTAATGTTGTCCCCTTTAAGAAGAATCCTTCCTGGAAATATAAACAAACGAATAAGAAAATATGCATACAATAAGGCAGGAACAATAAGACTATAAGCGTTAAGACAATCCACCTATTGTCTTTCTGCTCTTCTTCTTGATGTTAACTTCTTCAGCATCATCGAGCACCAAATTCATGTACTCATCAAAACCCTACAAAATGCAAGATAGGGTAAATAAGAAGCTGAATATAAGATCATCAATAAGTTATATCACAAAACATATGAGAGTTTTAGTTCTTTTTCTGTCAAAAAAAAATTCTACCAAATTTGAGGGTCATTCCAATACACACCATTATTTATGTATACATGAAGTTCAAGACTTTTGTTTAACCTGAAGCCTACGCATAGGGCTTGATACACTCAGATCAAAGATTAAAGTAGGGATTCCAAGTCACCCTTTTTCACAAACCTGATTTTGGGAAACTAAAAAACCTAACGAAATTAAATTAAAAGTAAAATCTTTATCACAACAAGTAGTTTTAAAATGTTTACTCAAAGAAGATTACGCATAAAACTTACAATGATTCTGCCTTCTAGCCTCAAATCTTTCTGCTCAAAAAGCCAAATCTGAATGCGAGCTTTCTGAATATTTCCAAAATCGAGTAAGATAGATAAACAGTCGAACAATTAGTGAAAAAACCAGAAAAGAGAACGAAGAAAATAGATACTTACACTTTGGAGAAACCTGAAGATCAAGTTCTGTTGCCGGTCGAAAAGAAATAAAAAAAAAAGAAAGAAAAAAGTAAATAAAGAGAGATTCTGAAAAATAAAGGAAATAATGAAAGATGTACGAACAATGGGCTGAGTCATAATTCTCTGGACTTTGGTGCTCGCCATGGCTATCAAAAAACAAGAGAGAGAGACTCCAATGCCTTTTTCCTATGTGTCGAAAATATTTGAGTTGATTCAATGAGTTGTTAATCGAAAATATTTGAGTTGATGCAATGAGCTGTTAAAACCCTAGACTCAATGAGACGAGCTCACTTTAAAGGGGGATAAAATTCACCTGAGCCGAGTCCTACGCCTTTGATTTTCCTTTTTTATTAATATTTGTCCCTCTTATTTTTTAACTTGGATAAGGCATGTAAATGATATCTCAATTATAATATATTATTTTAATAAAATTATTTAACTATTAAAAATTACAAATTGATATCCTAATTATAGAATATTCTTTTTTAACAAGTTTAGATGTTGGAAGAATCTCTCGTATAAGTGTTATATTGATTATTTCAAAGAACTATCTAAAACTATATTTATGTGAAATGTATGATATTTCATATGAACTAGAATGAAAGTTTGATATATATTTGTTTCAAAAGGTTCAGTTGTATAGTGTGACTTGACAACTTAAAATATTTTTAATATATTCTCAAAATGTATTTATTGTTAAATGATATATGTATTTTGATTCTAAAAATCTATGTTTTTAATATGCAGAGAAAATAAGTAACAAATTTTTTTATGATTGTCCATTACAATAGACAAATTCTGAATATTAAAATCGGATTTGTATTTCAATCATAAAGGCATCTAAATATGATATTTGAAAAAAATATCACGTTGCATGAAATGAAGGAGAAAATACATAAAAAAAAATATAAGTTGATGTTAATAGTTTGAGGTATAAGTATATGGTATGTCCCAATCTATGAACTATTATGCACTACCTGTAACACTCAAATCACATGGATTTGAGTGTTATATGGAATCACCAAAGTGATTAACATTTTTTTTAAATATCACACTCACTTTTAAAATATTTGCACAAGGTATGAAACCATAACCATTTACAAAAGTGGGCCCTAATTTAAAAGATTGATAAATAAAATAATAAATAAAATATTACAAGTCAACTCATTTCAAATAATGACCTTTACATGCCCACTAATCCGTAATCATTATACTCTGGTACTCTACTGAGACTTCTCTGATGATATCGTTGTCCCCTTGCACTTCAGAAAACCTAAAATCTGCAAACGGAAACACATTTTAAACACTAAGCTTGCAAGCCTCGCGTCACATAATGTAACACCCTAAACTCGAATGAGCCTAAGGTGCCACATTAGGATGCCGAGGCAACTCTTGAGTTTTCAAAACCTTTTTATTTTATTTTCAAATATATTGAATGCTATCAGTAATAAACATAAATAACAATTATAAAAACATTTTTATAAACTGAAGCTCCATGACATATAATTTAAATCAAAATAATACAAGATCTGTCTCATAAATCTGAATACATACGTAAGGTCCTATTAATACATATGTCCACTATATTAGCTACAGCATAGGACTCTGAAGGAGATGCTGGAAATCCTGCTACGACGACGCTCCACGAACTGCTCAACTACTGACTTGCCAACGAAAAATATCCAAAGGCAGAGCTTACAAAGCCCAACAGTATAATCGCTAATCTAGAGCAGCATTATGAGTTTCATAAACATAAGCATGCTTAGACATGGTATTAAGCAGTAGGTACATTTGTGATATAGATCAAGTGCTACTTACTTAAGGCTTAACTTTCCTATAATTGAAGTAGGGTTATCACGCTTCTCTTAATCCTCTGCTCACATTATCTAAACATGACACTAGCTCTACTATACATTGTCTAAATGCAATACTACCTTGTATCCGGTCTCACATAGCCATCAGACACTAGACAATTAAGGATATTACACCCGGCTAACCCACCTCTTATGAGTGTTAGGCCTTGTGCCCGAATTAGCCACAAAAATGCCTTGCACAATTGCTTAGGTGTTCTAATATATCCTATATCCATAGATGATCATCACTGTATGTACTAGACTGATGTGACTATACAATACATATCTAAGGCCTAAAGGCCATACAATACTAAAATCGCTAACCCACTCCTCGTGAGTGATCGGGCCTCACGCCCTGAAAAAAATCCTTTAGGGCAACTAAGATTGTCTGACTATAGCATGGTATATCTCGATACACTAAAGTGAGGTCAACCCCTTACTAGCTACTATTTCAATTGTTCTCTCATCTAGAACGTTAGACGAAGGTTGATAATTGTGTTACTGTTGTTAATTGTTAAATTGTTATATTATGGTCGTTCATCACTTAAGGGCGCTTTAGTTAATTCTGTCTCTAAAGGAGTCTCTACGCATTTTATGAGTTTAGGACGAATATTGTGCTAGTGGTTCGTTGTCTGTAATGTTAACTGGCTCGAGTTCAAGGTTAGTTAGCGACTCCTAACTGCTCCTACTAAGCTTTCCCTTGATTCACCTTCGAATTGGAGGGACGACTGTCCGTTCACCATTCACTAACGTTCTTACTATATGAAACTTTTCTATTTTGTGATTTGATTATCTCGTCTTACCGCCCATCGATACATCCTCTGTTATTATCATTTTATCTTAGGTACTCGCTACGTGCTCGGATGGAAGTACTTGGGCGTATAACGCCTGCTATGGTTACTCTAGTGTTAACCTATCCTTACGAGTGTCTCTGAGTCCCTTTGGCCATTTACATCCTCTACGGACTACGTTCTACCATTATGGATCATATTTAGCTCTTACGAGCCTTTACCAGATCGAATCAAATCATCAAATATGGTAGTATTGATACCCCATGAGCATCAATACCAAAAATAACTACGAAGTCCTAAAAAATGGCCCAATATTGATGCCATACACCTTCTGTATCGAAACCCTAATTTTTGCCCAAAATCAACCAACATCGATATTGTTCATCCCAGTATCGATATTCGAACCTAGAAATAGTTTGTTTAGGCTCGAAAAACACATAAAAATACCCTAAAAGCCATAGTTTGTTTTCTAAACATGTTCTGAAGCTTTAAGGAGTTACTTAGGGTCATAAAGTGACATAAAAATTTATTCTTTACATCAAACTCGGCATCTAACTATGAATTCAAGTATAAAACCTAAAATTTTTAAATACTCAAATCCTAATAAAATATTCATGTTTAAGAAAGCCTTAACACCAAAAAGGATTAAAAATACACCACCTTGATACTAGGACCTCGAAATGAAGCTTCTTGCTTAGCCAAACTCCTCTTCTTGGTGATTTGGATGGAAATCCCCACTTTGCTTTAGCTAGGAATTAGACCAAGACTTGATTCATTTAAAAGATGTTGCTGAAGGAATTATGAATGAGTTTGAAGCTTTAAATAGGGCTCAAGATCTTACCTTTGTGCTATGAAAATTTGGTGAGAAAGTGGGAGAAAAAAAAGAAAGGAATAAGAAATGAAAATAATAGGAAAATGAAGAGAATAAAAGTCTTTATCTTTTTAAACAGGGGAAATTACACCTTTTGTCATCCCAACATTTCCACTATTCAAAAATATCCCTTTTGGGTAATTAGGCCCAATTCCAATCTAATTAAGCCCAAAGACTTAAATTATTAAATCCACGAGGCCCATTTACCTCTTGGGTAAACCCAAAACTACTAGCCCAAAATTAAGGGTGTTACACACAATACCTCTACCATACTACATGCATTTATAAAATAAGTTGCATACAAGTACAATCATAGAAGCAATAAGACTATGTCATTAATGCTACTAAGGCATCTATTGCTAAGGGCCTCACCATGAGTATACATAATCTGGTCCCTAACAACAATATCATGCTACTATGTATCATCATATGCAACACACAATCATCAACTCACATGTTAAGGTAGGCATCATGGTGTGGTCAGCGGGTCACTTAACATATCGTGACATACACCCATCTAGCCTATCTAGGATGATTTTCTAAAATTTCTACATCGAAAACAACACTAGACTAACCCAACCCTCACATGTGTTCGGGCCTCGCGCCCTAGTTAGCCACATAAGTGCCTCGCGCACTTGCTTGGATATATCCCTTCACTCGCTACTATCTTGGTAACTCTTTCACATAAAACACTATGTAAGAGTAAGTCTTATGGTGTATTCTACATGAGATTCTTAAGCTTTTATTGTATTCATTAGTTGTTCTCACTTGTGAGTTAATTAGAGGGGTTTTGGTGGTTCTAGACTCCTTCCCGAGCCCTTAAGCTAAGATTGGGTTTCATGCGCAATTTAGCATGATGGTACTGATACTAAGCCCTTTAGTATCGATACCAACCCGTCAGTATAAATACCACCCTTAGTAATGACACCAAAAATATGTTATTTAATCTGATAAGACTTTGGAGTATTGATACTTCACTACTAAGGTATTGATACCATTCTGGGTACCAAAACCAAAAAATGGCTACTGGAATATGTGACTTAACAATGTTATCGGTACCTCACCCCTTGTATCGATACCTAACCCCTTGGTATCGATACTTGAAAATAATATCAGCAAAAACCTTAATATTAGTCATTTATAATATTCTGAATCCTCATGAATAAGCTCTCGTTATAGAGTTGAACATCGCATATCATTATTATCACGGTGCTACCTCGTCATTATTTCTAATTACAATATTTCCAAACTCCTCTCTCGAGCCTTAATTCATTACATAGTTATTTAGTAATTCAACTCTCTCTAGTACATGTTATTTCATTCACTTAGGACAATAAAGGGTAATGTGGTAATTTTATCCTCTAAGGGCATTTTAGTAACCTCACACTCAAGCAAATGCCCAATTTTGAATGGATATTAAACTCATTACTCTCGAGTCTATGGATACCAGCCCACTGTTATTGATACCAAACATTCAGTATTGATACCAAGCTTCCAGTATCGATACTACAAGCCTTAGTATCGATACCAAGGGATCAGTATCGATACCATTCCATCCAATATAGATATCGAGACCTAGAAAACCCTGTTTTCACCATAAATATAAACAATATTGTTATCAGTTCATCCAATATTGATATTGTTGTCCAGAAACACATTGTTTTGCTCAAGAAACACCCCTTAACTCACCCCAAACACTTTTCGTA